GCCGTATCCTGAGGGACACGGCTAGCTTTTGTGAGACTTCGTCTGGAGGTGGGGGTGTTATGGGGCTATAGGACCCAACATGTATTTATAAGTAACAGTTACTCTGGAATACCTAATTATATTGAATTGATGGGGACTTAGCTCTAAATGTCATAAGGGCTGATCACCCTTAGGACTGAGAGGCAGCTGGGTCAAGCCTTTTTTCTCAATATAATAGGTTATACTATAGACACACAAACACACAATTTAAATAAGTAGTTTATAAAGTTGTATTTATTTTTGTAAAAGTAAAATTAAGGTGTGGTAGAATTGTGGTAACTGGAGAATTGTGCTTGGTAACAGTCTTTTGTTTTTGGTGGGTGTGGGAGGAACTTAGCTAGGCTCCTCTCCCCCCCCTCTCTCTCTCTCTCTCTCTCTCTTCTTTTGTTGACATGGAGGTGGCAGGACCTCTGGGTCCTTTTTTCTATCTCTATTGGGGCATTATGTGTGCTCCAGGGGTGAGTTTTTATAACTTAAATTGTGGCCACCATACCCAGGGTGAATAAAGTGTGTCAAAACACTGGTTAGCCCAGAGTTAGTCAAGAAGAGAGAAGGACAAAGTTGCTGAGATGCACCATGTGGGAGAACAGCTAAGGAGTGTGTAGATTTTTGTTTTGAAAATGTGATTGCTGTGATTGTATCTTCTGTACATATCTATTTAGAATACAGTTATATTTTTATAGTAGTAGTTTACATAACCTGTGAAGAGGGCTGGTGAAAGGATATCAGAGACACTCAAGATGATCAGCCATGATGTAAGTATTACCCTTAGACTAAGGCCATTAAGTAAAAAACTACCCCACACTAGAACATGTAGTGAGAACCTTACTATCAAAGTAATAAGACATACCAACGTAACAGTATCGGGCCCTTACTCAGACAGGATGGGACTTACACAGATGACAACAAGGAAATGAGCGAAATACTGAAATCCCAGTACGACTCTTGTGTTTAGTGAGCCACTAATCAGTCTGAGGATCGACGACCCAAATGATTTCTTCATGAATGAGCCTCAAAACTCCATAAATGTATGTCAGATTTCCGACATTACCCTAACTCCGATAGACTTCGAAAAAAACATTGACAACATGCCCATGCACTCAGCCCCGGGTCCAGACTCGTGGAACTCTGTATTCATTAAGAACTGCAAGAAACCCCTCTCACGTGCCCTTAGTACACTATGGAGGAGGAGCTTGGACATGGGTGAAATTCCAGTCACTTAAAACAACAGATATAGCCCCACTCTATAAAGGTGGTAGCAAAGCATTAGCTCTAACGTCCAACATCATAAAAATCTTTGAAAGAGTGCTAAGAAGCAGGATTGCAAATCACCTGGATTCCCAAAATCTGCACAATCCAGGGCAACATGGGTTCAGGGCAGGTCGCTCCTGCCTCTCACAACTACTGGATCACTATGATATGGCCTTGGATGCACTGGAAGAAAATCAGAATGCAGATGTAATATACACAGACTTTGCAAAAGCGTTTGACAAGTGCGATCATGGCGTAATAGCGCACAAAATACGTGCTAAAGGAATAACTGAGAAAGTGGGGAGATGGATCTTCAACTTCCTAACAAATCGAACACAAAGAGTAGTCGTCAACAGAGTTAAATCGGAGGCCGCCACAGTGAAGATCTCTGTTCCACAAGGCACAGTACTCGCCCCCATCCTATTCCTCATCCTCATATCAGACATAAACAGATATATACACCACAGCACCGTATCATCCTTTTTCGGATGATACTAGGATCTCCACGAGACTGTCATCTGTTGAGGACACGGTTAACCTCCAAGAAGATATAAACAAAGTTTTCCAGTGGGCAACGGAAAACAATATGATGTTCAATGAGGACAAATTCCAACTACTCCGTTATGGAAAACTGGCGGAGATAATAACTAGAACAGAGTATACTACAAACTCTGGCCATACAATAGAGCGGAAAAATAATGTAAGGGACCTGGGAGTAGTAATGTCTGAGGATCTCACTTTCAAGAATCACAATAGTGCCACGATCACAAGTGCAAAGAAAATGATAGGATGGATAATGAAAACGTTCAAAACGAGAGATGCCAAGCCAATGATGATCCTTTTCAAATCACTTGTTCTCTCTAGGCTGGAATACTGCTGTACATTAACATCTCCATTCAAAGCAGGTGAAATTGCAGATCTAGAGAGTGTACAGAGATCCTTTACTGCACATATAAGTTCTGTCAAGCACCTTAACTACTGGGAACGTTGGAAGCACTTGACTTGTACTCGTTGGAACGCAGGAGGGAGAGATATATCATAATCTACACTTGGAAAATCCTGGAAGGAATGGTCCCGAATCTGCACACAGAAATCACTCCCTACGAAAGACTGGGCAGGCGATGCAAAATACCCCCAATTAAAAGTAAGGGGGCAAGAGGTACACTAAGAGAAAACACCATAAGTGCCCGGGGCCCAAGACTGTTCAACAGCCTCCCATCAAGCATTAGGGGAATTATCAATAAACCCCTGGCTGCCTTCAAGAGACAGCTGGACAGATACCTAAAATCAGTGCCGGATCAGCCGGGCTGTGGCTCGTACGTTGGACTGCGTGCGGCCAGCAGTAACAGCCTGGTTGATCAGGCCCTGATCCAGCGGGAGGCCTGGTCGTGGACCGGGCCGCGGGGGCGTTGATCCCCGGAATAACCTTCAGGTAATCTCAAGTTAATTTTTAAGTTTGCCCGAAATGCTTTGCATACAAAGGGGCTTTTTGCACGTACACCCAACTATTATATTCTTCTGTACAACAATGTATCATGTCAAAATAAACTTCTTATTCTTATTCTAAACCGGTAGGTGACTTGGACTTGCCTCGCATGAGCCAGTAGGCCTGCTGCAGTGTTCCTTCTTTCTTATGTTCTTACGTAAGGATATCTTATTTAGGGTACAATACCTTGTAGCGACACATTTTTTTTTTCACTGGGGCTAAAATCAAGGTGGGGTAGAGCAGCAGATGCTAAACTACTGCCGGGACATCTAACATCCACGACAGGAATGTTGTTCTTAATAAAACTTTTGAAGCTCCCGCAGCTGACGAGCCCTTACTGAAATACTTGACGATTAACCTCATTTCCTAACCGAAGTCTCCCAGCTTAGACTGACAGATTTCAACACCGTAAATGAGCCCCAGCCTTCATAATGAATTATGACAGTGAAGCATATTTAGGTTTTGTTCACACTAATTATCATATGGAATAGGGTAGCAGCACATTGCTGATGTATCCAGCTTTGTTTCATTAAAAATAAGTCTTAATGAATAAAGCACCAGATTCCCTCTCAGATCACCGAGTCCAGCACGGTAAGCCAGAAGTGGCTGTTACCATGACTCACGGTGCCATCGGCTGTCCTACCTTCATGTGTCCTTAAATACACCCCGAGTTTGATGCCCAGGCATGGAGAATCACATGGGCAAGTTACTAACACACTTTCTGCCCTTCCCACCTTGCGTTAAAAATATGTGTCTGTGTGTTAGGCGACTGTTGTGGGTCGCATCCACGAGAAAATGTATTAGAAAACTCCAGGCCTGCTGGATATCATGCCTATGCCGCAAAACACTCCAGTCCTGTGTAAGAAAACTCAGTCCTACTGGAATATCATGCCTGTGCAACAAAATACTACAGTCCTACTGGAATATCATGCCTGTGCAACAAAATACTACAATCTTACTGGAATATCATGCCTGTGCAACAAAATATTACAATCTTACTGGAATACCATGCCTGTGCAACAAAATACTACAGTCCTGTGTAAGAAAACTCAGTCCTACTGGAATATCATGCCTGTGCAACAAAATACTACAGTCCTACTGGAATATCATGCCTGTGCAACAAAATACTAGTCCTACTGGAATATCATGCCTGTGCAACAAAATACTAGTCCTACTGGAATACCATGCCTGTGCAACAAAATACTAGTCCTACTGGAATACCATGCCTGTGCAACAAAATACTACAGTCCTACTGGAATATCATGCCTGTGCAACAAAATACTAGTCCTACTGGAATATCATGCCTGTGCAACAAAATACTAGTCCTACTGGAATACCATGCCTGTGCAACAAAATACTACAGTCCTACTGGAATATCATGCCTGTGCAACAAAATACTGCAGTCCTACTGGAATATCATGCCTGTGCAACAAAATACTACAATCTTACTGGAATACCATGCCTGTGCAACAAAATACTACAATCTTACTGGAATACCATGCCTGTGCAACAAAATAGTACAATCTTACTGGAATATCATGCCTGTGCAACAAAATACTACAATCTTACTGGAATACCATGCCTGTGCAACAAAATACCACAATCTTACTGGAATACCACGCCTGTGCAACAAAATACTACAATCTTACTGGAATACCATGCCTGTGCAACAAAATACCACAATCTTACTGGAATACCATGCCTGTGCAACAAAATACTACAATCTTACTGGGATATCATGCCTGTGCAACAAAATACTACAATCTTACTGGGATATCATGCCTGTGTAAGACAACACTGTACTACATGCTGGAAGAATTCAAGTATTGGGTAAGAGGTATCCGTGTATTTAATATTGTTAATTAAAATAAATGAAAACCCATCTTGCCATTCCTCCTCTACATATTACCAGTTGTACCCAACAGGTTTTTTTTACGTTTTGCAAAGCTTAATTTTACGTTTTGCAAAGCTTATTTTTTTACAATAGTGCCATGCTCTACATGGGCATGTAGATAGATTCATTCAGTATGACGAAAAATGAGCCGAGACTCACCACAAGCAACCAACAGAGGTCCTGTAAATAGTTTATTACCACTACAATTTTCTCAGTTATCAAAACTATGAGGCCTAGTCCCTGGACCCATTATGTGCCTCTAATATTTTAACTTCCACCTACAGCATGGATATCGGGTGCATAACTGAAGTTATTAAAATGAATACTCACCACAAGCAAGCAACAGCGGTCCTCCTTCAGGATGGCACAGCAGGCGAGGAGAGCTGCACATATCACAATAATACCAGCTAGCAGCAGAAGGTAAGCAGTGGCAGCGTAGGTGGTGGTGGTGAGCAGACATACATACTGGTGCTTCTCTGCTATCGTCCAGATGGCTACCCCCAGTACGGCACACCCTCCAAGCTGAGTGATATAAAAGGAGCCTTGTATTAATATTTAAACAATGCATGACATTCTATATAAAAGGCCATTGGAGTATAGTAACTTACCAATAGAAATAATTCATGCACTGACACTTTTGTATTTAAATAACAATAATAATAAAAATAATTTCGAAAAAATTATACGTGCTAAAATTTTATAGAAAGCCCACAGCATGTACATTTCCAGCAGGCTAAATCAATATACTTTATCACCAATAAATGCCAATAATAACTGTCGCTGCAACCATTATTTAAAGGTATAGTAGTTTGAAATATCTTATGTGCTGAATGTAAATAACATTTACCCTAAAATTCAGTCTTCAATAAAAAAAGTTGGTGTTGCTTTATATATAGACCATACCTGTAATATACCCGTGACCAATTTCGTGGGTTTTTTTGCTCTACCAACCAGGCCTTAGATCGAACTTTACGTAGGCCTGTTAAAAAAAGGTTGTTGTTAGGAGCCTGCTGGCCCACATAGGCATCACAGCCTGGTTGATCTTGCAATTGGCTAGGGTAGTGATCTAATTTCCTCCTTAAGACTTCTACATAAACCCACGGAAGAGTTGAGATAGCTACTGGAAGCACGTTTGAAGTTTAGTTTTGGACAACGGAGGGGTGACACTGATCTCTTCTTGTGCCCATACCCCTCAAGGAAGGTTCCTTGATGCTGGTGAGGGGAACTGGATCTGTGCTCCAGTTCCCTGAATTAAGCCTGAATACCTTCCACATCCCCCCCCCCCCACAGGCGCTGTATAATCCTACGGGTTTAGCGCTTCCCCTTGATTATCATAATTCTTGTGCCCACGTCGTCAATGTTTGATTATTGTAAATTCAGTGAAAGATCATGCAGTTAATGTATTATTCAAAAATTAGGCTTCACGTAGGCTTATTTGTAAGCATACAGACCTGGAAGGAGAGAACATAAAATACCAGCACGATGGATAAAGACACAAATGGCCCCACAAACAATCAGGGATTCTAGCCAAATATCCAGCAAAATTTCTGGGCACTATCAGTCACGCACATTTAAAACATTCTGATCTTAATCGCATCCTAAATATAAAGTGAAACAAGAAACTTTCCAACCTAGTCGTGACATCCCTATTTACTACAGTACCAACAGCACAAGACAAGACACTGATCTGCGAAGAAAATTGAGGACACCCTCGACCTCTCCATTGCAGCTAGAGATTTTGTAAATCTTACTGAGCTATGTGTTGGTTTTAACTCTTCCTGTTTTGAAAATTCTTTCTTTCAGCAGACTTTCGGTCTACCAATGGGTTCATCATTAAGTGTTGTTCTGGCGAACCTATACATGGAACATCTCAGCCTTAAGATTTTCCTCTTATCAGCCCCATCCCCTGGGTCACCTGGCTCCGTTATGTTGGTGGCATTCGCATCATAACTCCCAAGAGATTCAACGTTTCTGCACTCCAACACAAGCTCAACCAGGTCGAGCCCTCTCTCCAGCTCACACTCGAAGAGGAAGTCGACGGTATTCCACCTTTACTCGATGTTCTACTCTATATAAATCTGGTCATGAACTACATTTTAATGTCTGCCGCAAACCTACCAATCAATACGATGTTCTCCATTACAACTTGCACCACAACACCAAGAGTGAACGTGGCATCATCATAGGCGTCTACCTACCAATCAATACGATGTTCTCCATTACTACTTACATCACGACACCGAGAGTAAACGTGGCGTTATCAGAGGCTTCTTCCTACGTGCAGTGAATTCTTTAATCATTTCATCAGAGGCTGCAGGCGCCGTGCACACATCTTCAATTCACCTAGACGAGGCACAACTAAAAGCAGATACACGGTCCTCCCTAACAAGTGTTTTCAATTCTCTCCAACACCAAATTCCAAGTATCCACCACTGCCTCGACTATAATCAGGAAATCACCAGTAATGGACACTATAAGTCAAACCACGGCAGGGGGTAAACACAAACACTTGTGACCTAATATAAGTGGGCGAAACATCGAGAGATCACACACGCATTTCTGAACGCCAATGTGCCATCAGAATAAACCACCTAAACAACGCGTGCTTCACATAGTCGTTGTTTTAAGTGACTAGTGATAATAGTGACGATACCAGAAATCTGAAAATATCACTAATCAGCATATCAAAAACTTTACTTTCTCTGCCACTGCAAAAAATTCTGTTGCGTTACCATACTTGTTGGCTTCGACAGTGACTCATGGCTCAGTGGTTGCGCCTTCTGTTCACAATCGAAGGTTCCGAGTTCCACCCAGGGCAAGTCTCTCTACACCTGTTGCACCTGATCATATATCAGTAAGTACTTGGGTAAGAGGTAATTTTTGTGTATTACATCCTTTACCTGTGACCAGTGATTTACCTCTGCCCCTGCTTCTCACTGGATCTATTTTACACTTCTATGTCTCATATTTTTCACTCCGGTACGTTGTTATGGTGGTGGTTTGGGACCATTATATATATATATATATATATATATATATATATATATATATATATATATATATATATATATATATATATATATATATATATATATACAAGGAATTCGCAAGAGCAGGCGAAATATACACAAACATTGATCTCTGGCTGAAAGAGACTCGAACCTACGAACCTTGGAACATGGTACGCAGTGCTTTACCAATCTACCCACACTGGACCAACACCTTGGAGTCCAGCTTGCGCTAGACTTTGATCCAAGGCAGCCAGCTTTCAGGGAGAAGGCTTACAGCTTTTCATCTCATCCCCTGCATGCATCAGCCTTACTAGAGATTTTTACATATATTCAAGTATTTCACATATACTTAACAATTCGCAAACAGGCGAAATTATTTACAAACATTGTCTCTACGTCCACAGCAGGACTCGAACCTGCTAACTCTGTATCAGAGTCCACAGTACTTTACCACGGAGCTAGACCCAAGAAGCTAAGCGATGTAGCTCCGTGGTAAAGTACTGTGGACTCTGATACAGAGTTAGCAGGTTCGAGTCCTGCTGTGGACGTAGAGACAATGTTTGTAAATAATCTCACATATATATTCATGTATCTCTCGCCTTCGCTCCGGAGAGTACATTCCCACTTCTCTGAGGCGTTGCAATAGTTTAAATGTTATACTGGCTACATGCAAGCAGTAGAAGCTCTTCATATTTTTCAGCTCTGATATCTCTGCTGCCATGAATGGAGTTGTCAACACCGAACAGAACTCTTAAGTGAGACAGCGTAAGTAATCTGAACAGTGTCACCATTAACATTAATCCTCTTGTTTTTAACATTTTCATTATCCACTGTCATTTTCCCGACTTTCTCAGCATTTCCTTCATCACTTGCTGGGTTATGAAATGAGCAAAGGCACGATAACAGTTCTAAGCCTGTAATTTAAATGGCGTAAAAAAAAAATTACACCAAGATGTCATCAGCTGCTGACCTAGATATAACTTTCATAAAATAAAGGGATATATGAGCCTGTGACGCCGTGATGTCACTGACGACAGGAAGTGGCCCTGACGCCATGATGGTGAGGTCAGTGACAACACAGGAAGTGACGCGTGAAGTGACAGCAGCATTGCGCATCTCTGGTCTCTGACAATACTCTCCCTCCCTCTAACCACTCCATATACACATGATCCCAAATTTAGGTTCAGTGTACGTAACTCCTGAGATAAAGGACCTGAGCTATGAGGACAGGGATTAAAAAAGTCTCAAACACTGGAGGACTGAAGAGAAAATGATCGTAACAAACAAGATAATCAGAAGCCCCCACAATGTTGATATAATACGAATCCAATATTTAACGAAAACTAAAGTGTAATGAACACTTGTCAGTGCTTAATAATAACCCAAATGGAGATAGAAACTCAGAAGATTAATCGGTCTGTATATTTCGATCCTCTTCTGGGATCCTCTTCAGCTGAAGATGATCCCAGAAGGAGATCGAAATATACAGACCAATTAATCTTCTGCGTTTCTGTCTCCATGTGGGTTATTATTGAGCATAAATATCTGGAGTCTGGCTGTGTGGATAAAGTCCTATGTACTCTGACTCTAAGTTTGCAGGTTCGAATCCTGCTGTGGATTGAGTGATAATGTTTGTAAATAATTTCGCCTGTTTGAGAATTGTTAAGCATGTATATATCTAAATATATTCATGTGAATTCGCATGGTACGCACTGCTTTCACAACAAAATTTTTTTTTGCAGTTGCAGCAAAAACTGATATAAGCTATTGTCTGAATAAACATAAGTTCTGCATAAAAAATGGATAAGGAATAGTTGGCAATTCAGGAAGTGGGTAGGGTAGAGTAGTTGGTACAGTAGAGTAGCGGAAGAGTACAGTGGGCAAGGCAAGGCAGTTGGCAGGGTATAGTCACTATAGTGGAAGGGCAGTGTTGTAGGTAAGGCAGGACAGAGTAGTGGGAGGGAAGAATAATAAGCATGGAAGGGTAGTGGGATGGTAGAGTAGTGGGATGGTAGAGCAATGTCCATGTAAGGATAATGGGCGTCACCCTTTGAGACTGTACCCACTGCCCCTCCCTTACCCTTAGTCTTGTTGCTTAAGATACACTGACCCCACGACACTTGCAACACACACACACACACACACCAATCTGAAGAGTGAAGCGGTAGAGACATGATCCATACATAGATTTAAGAAGAGGTGCGACAAGGCTCTTGAAGCAGAGAGTGGACCTAGTAGCGACCAGCGAAGAGGCCGGGCCATGAACTGTGAATCGATCCCTGCAAGCACATTTAGGTGAGTACACATAGGCGACCTAGAGTAGGTCAACTGACTGACCACCAGAGAACGTGCTGCCAGACGTACAAACCTAACTTCAATTCCATCACACGGCGAGGGTCTGGGTTCGATTCCCGGCAAAGGAGTGGAAACATCGGACGTGTTTCCTTACGCCGGTTGTCTATGTTCACCCATCAGTAAAATGGGTACCTGGGTGTTAGTGGACTGGTGAGGGTCGCATCCTGGGACAAAACTGACCTAATTCGCCCGAAATGCTCAGCATAACAAGCGGCTTTCTATATAGTAGTATGTCATTGATGTCAGCAATGGTCTGTATACCTTGTACATGTACTTGTAGTAATTGAAGATATTATTATTATTATTATTATTATTATTATTATTATTATTATTATTATTATTATTATTATTATTATTATTATTATTATTTGAAGTCATACTTGTACCTAATAGGACTGGTGGTGGTGATATTGATTTAGACAGTCTAGTGAAGGGGGTATGGGGGACATATCGGGCATTTCATTGAGGGTCTGTAATCGTAACAAGGTTAAGAACTGCTCCAATGTATCCTTGTCTCACTTATGATATATATGCATGGGGCTCTACAAGAGCAAATAGCCTAAAACTCACCGTAGCTCAACATTTATTGTACTCTTATCAAGAGTGATGGACTGATCACATTGACTCCAGGCTGAGGGACTGATTACCTCAAACTCGTTCTGATCATTAACCATTCTTTTCTGTACCGGACTGGGAAAGCCACTGGTTGGCGAAACGCTTCCACAATAAAGATATCGAAATGTTGCACAAGCGTCTAATTCATCATCCTGTCGGTTCTCTGAACCATTGATCTACGTATTCATTTACGTAGTTATTAATCATTCACGGCAGATGCCAGGAAACTGGGTAAAAAAAAATGCCAATTTGGTCCCCATATGTAAAAAGAGTGACAGATAGGAGGGAAGGAATCACAGGACAGTATATTAAACATGCATTTTGTCAAAATCTCTGGAGAAGATTGTAAGGAAAAGGATATTGGAGCACTTGAGAGATTCTTTAGAACAAACCAAAATAGTCCACCACCTTGGAGCCTTGTTAGACTGGAGGCACAGCCAGTGGCACCTCCGGACTCACAGTGGCACCTCCGGACTCACAACTATTGATGCCAACAACAAAATTCCCCCAACAAATATGCAACACAACCTCATTTATATTTGCTAATATACAGGACCTTAAGCCATCCACCAACAACAAAAATACCTTTCATTAGTGGACTTTTAGGGGAGTCAAATGCAGTGTTTGCAGCCTTCACAGAGACCCACGCAAAGGATTACTTTGACAGTGAAATATTGATACCTGGATACAACCTTTTCAGATGCGACAGAAAGAACAGGCAACAAGGGGGGTTGGCCTGTATGTCAAAGAGTCACTCATTTGCACAGAGATACTGAACACCACAAATGATGTAGCTGAAGTTCTGACAATAAATATCGAGAACCAAAATTTACACCTGGAAAATTCTGGAGGGATTGGTCCCTAATATGCACACAGAAATCATTCCATACAAAAGCAAAAGACTTGGCAGGCGATGCAACATACCCCCAGTGAAAAGTAAGGACGTCACTGGTATACTAAGAGAAAACGCATTAAGTGTCTGGGGCCCAAGACTGTTCAACAGCCTCCCACCAGCAATAAGGGGCATTACCAGTAGATCCCTGGTTGTCTTCAAGAGGGAGCTGGAAAGATAGCTAAAGTTGGTGCCGAATCAGCCGGGCTGTGGTTCGTACGTTGGACTGCGTGCGGCCAGCAGTAACAGCCTCGTTGATCAGGCCCTGATCCATCGGGAGGTCTGGTCGTGGACCGAGCCGCGGGGGCGTTGATCCCCGGAATAGCCTCCAGGTAGACTCCAGGAAACCAACACGGATTTAGGGACGGAAAACTACTCTCTTACGAACTTAGAGTTTAATGTCAGAATCTCACAGATAAAACAATAGAGGGATGAGTGGACTGCGTCTAGGACTACGAGAAAGTATTTATTTACAATACCATAAGCCAGAGACTAGTACAGAAATTAGATAAGTCAGGGTTACAATACAGAGTGGTTCGGTGCGTAATAAATTACTAGAATGACAGAAGGCAGAGAGTAAGAGTAAGGAATGAGACATCAGAATGAGGAAACAGTAACGAGTGGTGTCCCGCAAGGCCCAGTATTAGGACCGTGGAGGGAAGGTTACTCCATCACATTGTAAGCTGCTGCTGGGGACGGAGGGAAGGTTCCTTCCTCCATCACATTATATGTTGATGCTGCTAGGGAAGGAGGGAAGGCTCCTCCATCACATTATATGTTGATGCTGCTAGGGAAGGAGGGAAGGTTCCTCCATCACATTATATGTTGATGCTGCTAGGGAAGGAGGGAAGGTTCCTCTATCACATTATATGTTGATGCTGCTAGGGAAGGTTCCTCCCTCCTCACATTATATGTTGATGCTGCTAGGGAAGGAGGGAAGGTTCCTTCCTCCATCACATTATATGTTGATGCTGCTAGGGAAGGAGAGAAGGTTCCTTCCTCCATCACATTATATGTTGATGCTGCTAGGGAAGGAGGGAAGGTTCCTTCCTCCATCACATTATATGTTGATGCTGCTAGGGAAGGAGAGAAGGTTACTCCATTACATTATATGCTGCTGCTGGAGGAGGAGGAAAGGTTTCTCCATCACATATGCCGCTGGGGAAGGAAGGTTACTCCATCACATTATATGCTGTTGGAGGAGGGAAGGTTCCTCCATCACAACAGAGTTTCACCGAATTCTTTAAGAAAGTGTCCCCCCCCATTCGCTTACTCCTTCCCTAAATCCCTTCTTCCCCCCCTTCTCTCTCTCTCTCTCTCTCTCTCTCTCTCTCTCTCTCTCATACATATGTATAAGTACTGGAGGCAACGGATACATTTTCTGAACATGATGACATAAGAAGGATTTCGTTGGTATGAGTTGAACAAGTGGAATGCACTGGGCGGGGTGGTAGTGGAGGCTTACTCCATACATGGCTGCTTGCAGCTACGACACTGCCCAACACAACATTGCAACACACACACACACACACACACACAGGACCTAGTAGCACTCAGTGAAGAAGCGGGGCCAGGAGCTGAGTCTCGACCCCTGCAACCACAATTAGGTGAGTACACACCACGCAAAAAAAACCACCACCACAGGCCAAGTCCTATCGACAAGTGTCTTTGACAACTACCACTACTACACAACAAGCCACAAGGACACATGCAGGTACGACACAGATCAACACAACAAAGACAAACATTATCAAGACAATAAAACACCCGCATCCCGCACTGCCTAATGTTTCTTAGGTAAGACACATATGCAACAGTTAGGTATCTTTATTTCGAAACGTTTCGCCTACACAGTAGGCTTCTTCAGTCGAGTACAGAAAAGTTGATAGAAGCAGAAGAAGCCTAATGTTTGCACCGGATAAAAGGAAGATGGGGCACTAAGCTAGGTGTTAATACTGGCACCTGCCAGAGCCAGTGCCACACACCCACCAATATGAAAATGAAAATATTTATTTCCTTGTAAAACTTAAAACGTGTGGTTTACTTGTTATAAAATATTAATTACAAAGAAGGCCACTAGCATGCCTAGGCATTTTGGGCAGACCAAGAAGAATGGTATAAATCTTGGTAATAGATACCGACAAATTGGTCTAGAAAGACACGTAAGCAACCACTAGGACATATTAGAAAACGTTTCGGTCCTGGGACCCTGATCACTTCTAACATCCAGAGGCTAAAACACACTATATATAGGCGGAGAGTGAGGTGTGAGTGACGTATGGTGACCTGAAGAATGACATACTGGAATGAGGACAGGTAGACAATGGGATCATAAAGAATGGTTATAACAATGACTATAATTTTTAAAGGGGTGGGCCGGTAAGCCAGCGGAAGGCCTCTGTCAGATTACCAAAAGCTCCAATGGCAGGTCATCACTTAAGACCCGTGTCAGGAAACACTTGTCCTGTTTCCTGACAGACCTTACCTAACCTAATGGGATCATGTGACTCCTGTGCTGTTAGGTAGGTGGTGCTTTACCTGATCAAGTATTATGTATGTACTGTTACTGAAATTTTGTAGTTTCCAGTATTATGCTCTGGTGGCCTGGTGGTTAACGCTCTCGCTTCACACGGTGAGGGCCTGGGTTCGATTCCCAGCCAGAGTAGAAACATTGGACGTGTCTCTTTCCACATGTTGTCTATGTTCCCCATCAGTAAAATGGGTACCTGGGTGTTAGTCGACTGGTGTGGGTCGCTTCCTGGGACACTGACCTAAGGAGGCCTGGTCACAGACCGGGCCGCGGGGGCGTTGACCCCCGGAACTCTCTCCAGGTAAATCCAGGTATGGTGTCGGCGATGGGGATTAGCGAAGCTTCCAGACCAACATGTCGGTATCTATTACCAAGGTCTGTACTATACCTACTTACTGCTAGGTGAACAGGGGCAACAGATGTTAGGAAACATGCCCAACATTTCTATTAGTTAAGTGATCGAACTCTGCTTCCTCAGTGTGCGAGCTGAGACGGCTACCAACCAAGCCATGACACCCGCATTTCCCCATGACCACACACATTCATCCACGTACCAGGAAAATGAAGTTGAAGATAAAAAGGACGTATTTGAGGAAGTTGATGCTACAGCAGCCACGGTCCCTCGGCGGCTTCCGGTACGACGTGTCGGGTCCTGCAACGAAAATTTGCTCTTACGAATGGAAGACACGTAATATGTAAGTAAACAATGAGAATAAAATAAAAAATAAACGGGAGAAGGGGAGAGCCTGAGAACAGTTGTGGGAGAGGGTGAAGGAGGTTTTGAGTGGTAGAGGCTTTTGCATCCTACAGGCATGTACGAGCGTATTAGATCAAAGTGGAGAGAAAATTTTGGGGGGATTTGAAGTGATGCTGGAGTGTTAGCAAGGTAACAATGATGAAGGGAAGTGCTGTTGAGTGTTAGCAAGGTAACACTGATGAAGGGAAGTGCTGTTGAGTGTTAGCAAGGTAACACTGATGAAGGGAAGTGCTGTTTGAGTGTTAGCAAGGTAACATTGATGAAGGGAAGTGCTGTTGAGTGTTAGCAAGGTAACACTGATGAAGGGAAGTGCTGTTTGAGTGTTAGCAACATAACACTAATGACGGGAAGTGCTGTTGAGTGTTAGCAAGGTAACATTGATGAAGGGAAGTGCTGTTGAGTGTTAGCAAGGTAACACTGATGAAGGGAAGTGCTGTTGGAGTGTTAGCAAGGTAACACTGATGACGGGAAGTGCTGTTGGAGTGCTAGCAAGGTAACACTGATGAAGAGAAGTGCTGTTGGAGTGTTAGCAAGGTAACACTGATGAAGGGAAGTGCTGTTGGAGTGTTAGCAACATAACACTGATGACGGGAAGTGCTGTTGGAGTGTTAGCAAGGTAACACTGATGAAGAGAAGTGCTGTTGGAGTGTTAGCAAGGTAACACTGATGAAGGGAAATGCTGTTGGAGTGTGAGCAAGGTAACATTGATGAAGGGAAGTGCTGTTGGAGTGTGAGCAAGGTAACACTGATGAAGGGAAGTGCTGTTGGAGTGTGAGCAAGGTAACACTGATGAAGGGAAGTGTTGTTGGAGTGTAAGCAAGGTAACACTGATGAACGGAAGTGCTGTTGGAGTGTGAGCAAGGTAACACTGATGAAGGGAAGTGCTGTTGGAGTGTGATCAAGGTAACACTGATGAATGGAAGTGCTGTTGGAGTGTGAGCAAGGTAACACTGATGAAGGGAAGTGCTGTTGGAGTGTTAGCAAGGTAACACTGATGAAGGGAAGTGCTGTTGGAGTGTTAGCAAGGTAACACTGATGAAGGGAAGTGCTGTTGAGTGTTAGCAAGGTAACACTGATGAAGGGAAGTGCTGTTGGAGTGTTAGCAACATAACACTGATGACGGGAAGTGCTGTTGAGTGTTAGCAAGGTAACACTGATGACGGAAAGCGCTGCTGGAGTGTTAGCAAGGTAACACTGATGACGGGAAGTGCTGTTGGAGTGTTAGCAACATAACACTGATGACTGGAAGTGCTGTTGAGTGTTAGCAAGGTAACACTGATGACGGAAAGCGCTGCTGGAGTGTTAGCAAGGTAACACTGATGACGGGAAGTGCTGTTGGAGTGTTAGCAACATAACACTGATGACGGGAAGTGCTGTTGAGTGTTAGCAAGGTAACACTGATGACGGAAAGCGCTGCTGGAGTGTTAGCAAGGTAACACTGATGACGGGAAGTGCTGTTGGAGTGTTAGCAACATAACACTGATGACGGGAAGTGCTGCTGAGTGTTAGCAAGGTAACACTGATAACGGGAAGTGCTGCTGGAGTGTTAGCAAGGTAACACTGATGACGGGAAGTGCTGTTGGAGTGTTAGCAAGGTAACACTGATGAAGGGAAGTGCTGTTGGAGTGTTAGCAATGTAACACTGATGAAGGGAAGTGCTTTTGGAGTGTTAGCAAGGTAACACTGATGAAGGGAAGTGCTGTTGGAGTGTGAGCAAGGTAACACTGATGAAGGGAAGTGCTGTTGGAGTGTGAGCAAGGTAACACTGATGAGGGAAGTGCTATTGGAGTGTAAGCAAGGTAACACTGATGAAGGGAAGTGCTGTTGGAGTGTGAGCAAGGTAACACTGATGAAGGGAAGTGCTGTTGAGTGTTAGCAAGGTAACACTGATGAAGGGAAGTGCTGTTTGAGTGTTAGCAACATAACACTAATGACGGGAAGTGCTGTTGAGTGTTAGCAAGGTAACACTGATGAAGGGAAGTGCTGTTGAGTGTTAGCAAGGTAACACTGATGAAGGGAAGTGCTGTTGAGTGTTAGCAAGGTAACACTGATGAAGGGAAGTGCTGTTTGAGTGTTAGCAGCAAAACACTGATGGCAGGAAGTGCTGTTGAGTGTTAGCAAGGTAACACTGATGACGGAAAGTGCTGCTGGAGTGTTAGCAAGGTAACACTGATGACGGGAAGTGCTGTTGGAGTGTTAGCAAGGTAACAATGATGAAGGGAAGTGCTGTTGAGTGTTAGCAAGGTAACACTGATGAAGGGAAGTGCTGTTGGAGTGTTAGCAAGGTAACACTGATGACGGGAAGTGCTGTTGGAGTGTTAGCAAGGTAACGCTGATGAAGGGAAGTCCTGTTGGAGTGTCAAGGTAACACTGATGACGGAAAGTGCTGCTGGAGTGTTAGCAAGGTAACACTGATGACGGGAAGTGCTGTTGGAGTGTTAGCAAGGTAACACTGATGAAGGGAAGTGCTGTTGGAGTGTTAGCAAGGTAACACTGATGAAGGGAAGTACTGTTGGAGTGTTAGCAAGGTACACATGATGAAGGGAAGTGCTGTTGGAGTGTGAGCAAGGTAACACTGATGAAGGGAAGTGCTGTTGGAGTGTTAGCAAGGTAACACTGATGAAGGGAAGTGCTGTTGGAGTGTTAGCAAGGTAACACTGCTGAAGGGAAGTGTTGTTGGAGTGTTAGCAACATAACACTGATGACGGGAAGTGCTGTTGAGTGTTAGCAAGGTAACACTGATGAGGGGAAGTGCTGCTGGAGTGTTAGCAAGGTAACACTGATGACGGGAAGTGCTGTTGGAGTGTTAGCAAGGTAACACTGATGAAGGGAAGTGCTGTTTGAGTGTTAGCAGCATAACACTGATGACGGGAAGTGCTGTTGAGTGTTAGCAAGGTAACACTGATGACGGAAAGCGCTGCTGGAGTGTTAGCAAGGTAACACTGACGACGGGAAGTGCTGTTGGAGTGTTAGCAACATAACACTGATGACGGGAAGTGCTGTTGAGTGTTAGCAAGGTAACACTGATAACGGGAAGTGCTGCTTGAGTGTTAGCAAGGTAACACTGATGACGGGAAGTGCTGTTGGAGTGTTAGCAATGAAACACTGATGAAGGGAAGTGCTTTTGGAGTGTTAGCAAGGTAACACTGATGAAGGGAAGTGCTGTTGGAGTGTGAGCAAGGTAACACTGATGAAGGGAAGTGCTGTTGGAGTGTGAGCAAGGTAACACTGATGAAGGGAAGTGCTGTTGGAGTGTGAGCAAGGTAACAATGATGAAGGGAAGTGCTATTGGAGTGTAAGCAAGGTAACACTGATGAAGGGAAGTGCTCTTGGAGTGTGAGCAAGGTAACACTGATGAAGGGAAGTGCTGTTGAGTGTTAGCAAGGTAACACTGATGAAGGGAAGTGCTGTTTGAGTGTTAGCAACATAACACTAATGACGGGAAGTGCTGTTGAGTGTTAGCAAGGTAACACTGATGAAGGGAAGTGCTGTTGAGTGTTAGCAAGGTAACACTGATGAAGGGAAGTGCTGTTTGAGTGTTAGCAACATAACACTAATGACGGGAAGTGCTGTTGAGTGTTAGCAAGGTAACACTGATGAAGGGAAGTGCTGTTTGAGTGTTAGCAGCAAAACACTGATGGCAGGAAGTGTTGTTGAGTGTTAGCAAGGTAACACTGATGACGGAAAGTGCTGCTGGAGTGTTAGCAAGGTAACACTGATGACGGGAAGTGCTGTTGGAGTGTTAGCAAGGTAACACTGATCAAGGGAAGTGCTGTTGAGTGTTAGCAAGGTAACACTGATGAAGGGAAGTGCTCTTGGAGTGTTAGCAAGGTAACACTGATGAAGGGAAGTGCTGCTGGAGTGTTAGCAACATAACACTGATGACGGGAAGTGCTGTTGGAGTGTTAGCAAGGTAACACTGATGAAGGGAAGTGCTGTTGGAGTGTTAGCAATGTAACACTGATGAAGGAAAGTACTGTTGGAGTGTTAGCAAGGTAACACTGATGAAGGGAAGTGCTGTTGGAGTGTGAGCAAGGTAACACTGATGAAGGGAAGTGCTGTTGGAGTGTGAGCAAGGTAACACTGATGAAGGGAAGTGCTGTTGGAGTGTGAGCAAGGTAACACTGATGAAGGGAAGTGCTGTTGGAGTGTGGGCAAGGTAACACTGATGAAGGGAAGTGCTGTTGGAGTGTAAGCAAGGCAACACTGAAGAACGGAAGTGCTGTTGGAGTGTGAGCAAGGTAACACTGATGAAGGGAAGTGCTGTTGGAGTGTGAGCAAGGTAACACTGATGAAGGGAAGTGCTGTTGGAGTGTTAGCAAGGTAACACTGATGAAGAGAAGTGCTGTTGGAGTGTGAGCAAGGTAACACTGATGAATGGAAGTGCTGTTGGAGTGTGAGCAAGGTAACACTGATGAAGGGAAGTGCAGTTGGAGTGTTAGCAAGGTAACACTGATGAAGGGAAGTGCTGTTGGAGTGTTAGCAAGGTAACACTGATGAAGGGAAGTGCTGTTGGAGTGTTAGCAACATAACACTGATGACGGGAAGTGCTTTTGAGTGTTAGCAAGGTAACACTGATGACGGGAAATGCTGCTGGAGTGTTAGCAAGGTAACACTGATGACGGAAAGCGCTGCTGGAGTGTTAGCAAGGTAACACTGATGACGGGAAGTGCTGTTGGAGTGTTAGCAACATAACACTGATGACGGGAAGTGCTGTTGAGTGTTAGCAAGGTAACACTGATGACTGGAAGTGCTGCTGGAGTGTTAGCAAGGTAACACTGATGACGGGAAGTGCTGTTGGAGTGTTAGCAAGGTAACACTGATGAAGGGAAGTGCTGTTGGAGTGTTAGCAATGTAACACTGATGAAGGGAAGTGCTTTTGGAGTGTTAGCAAG